TATTAAGTCTATAAATAGAGAGCAAATAATCCTTATTTGACTAGCTACCTCATTCCTTAGAATCATAGCGCCCCGTCATTTGCTAATTCCGATCATTTATCTAATTTTGCGTTTAGCAAAAAACGTGCTACTTTCAGCACTAATTGCAATAACATATCCAGGTTTCACTGTGGGCAGCGAACACAGACCGTTGGCTCCAAAAGACTTTGCCAGTATTTTTGCGTTAAGCTTCCTTGTGATGAATTGGATGGTGAGGCCAACAGAAGCCTTTAGGGCCAAAGACTAGCAAATATCTCTTCATTTACCAACAAAAGAAAAACAGTGTGTCCATCACTTGATAGAATATACATAATTCTGCTGCCTGCCACCAAATTAAGGCCAGAAAACACTGCCTGACATCTTTACCAGAATCTATGAACTCAGGCCGCAATCTCGGACTACATGGATACATGTCCCATTAAAGCATCATAGACGCAAGCTGAAGTGATCAGACTCAAGGACAGCAAAATCACCGGACCACTATCTCTATTATGCTAGTTTAAATAAGCTATAAAATTGAGGGAATTTATAAAAAAAGGAGCTTGATTGCCAGATGTCATTCTGAAGGTATTCATCATCTAACAATTAAAATCAACTCAAAAACGTAACAACAACTGTACCACATAGTAAAAACCTATATTGTGGCGTATATTGTACAGAGTACATTGTCATAATGCTACTAAGTATGCAAGTTCACAACGCCTTCTTTACTGCCTATCCATCATTAAGGCTGACGTTGCTATCGCCAATGACAAAAACTCTCTTGCTTTCATTCAAAAAGCTAATATTTTGCCCACTCTTGTCCAAACCAATTCATATCACCAACCTTAAGACATTTACAGTCATGCTCTCATTCAGCGTAGCAAAAGTGGTTATTTTTCGTATATAAGTAGAGTTTCGAGACGACCAGTAAATCAGTTATGTGATATGTATTCACCATATTTCGTTTAAGGTGATGAAGGAGTGGTAGTAGGATTTTTACACAATGATGTGAGTAGAGCTGACGTTTACATTTCAATTTCCAAAGTGGTTATGCCTGTGCTAAAGAACTTATTCGAATGGGTGCTTGATGGAAAGATGAAGCTGGTTACTACGAGGAGTACTCCATGGCACTACATGCATACAGCCCAACGGACTCAAGTCGTACAAGCATTCACAAAGTTGGTTCAAGTGCATTAATCATATGAGTGCTGATAAAACATAGCGTATTGATCGGACTCTAACCCATTTCGACATCCGATTTGCATCTTGATGCTTAGCAAACCCGTTAATCATATATCTTCCGTTTTTATGTAAACGCAACAATGATACTAAGAGAGAACCTCAATTTAGCTGTCATGAGACAATATGCACTTTGCATTTGGTCAAAATTTATGATAATAATCAAATTCTTTAATTTAAACGCCAAGAATTTCAATCAGATGTCTATAAAATTCATATGATTTAACTAAATGCTTGAATCTTTTTTGACACCCAAATCCGAGTTGCTGCCCCTAGAGGCTCCAACAGTTTCGAACATAAATAGCATCGAGCACAAAAGACTCGTAAATTCATCAATCTAATCGAGAATTTTTAGTTTGTGTACAAATTAAGTATCCTTTTAAAAGAAAATTTCAGAGCTAAAATTCGTGTTAATTACGAACAATAATGGGAAATATTTAATAAATGCAACGGAAAATAGGTTGCGAATTAAAATACAAATCACTCACACTTGAGGCCTATTTCGCTTAATTGCTTAAGCATTCATTATTAATAAGACAGGTTAAATAACCTGTAGGTAACCCGAAAGCTTGCTTATTGTACAATAATTAGAATACTTCCAGGCAAAGTTTTTAATTTCAGTATAATTGAACTTGATACTCCTGTTCCTAATGACTACATCAAACGCATTTGTACTTTTAACATATTATATTCTAACAAATAGCATAGCAAGGATTGAGATAAACTCTCAACCGTCTTAATGGAGCATCGAAAAGTTCCAGCCTTCTGGGCCACCGAGCAAAGCCAAAGAAAGAAGGAGAGCGCTTTAATGATCTCTTGCTTAAAATGACCAGAAATATTTTCTTTTTGGGTCGGCTGCAATTTATTTGTTTCTTCCTTTTCTCAGAATTTTCTCTAAACCTTATTTAGCCGCTTTTTTGCTGCATTTAAAGTAAGCAAAGGCTCGTAACTTGGCAGAAAGTCAATTGATCAGTTTTACCTGATTTGATTGGCATAGATGCTAAGATAAGAATCCTGATGAAATATTTTGCTTTTTTTGCAAAGGCATGGCTGAGCTTTTTGCCCTCATATTATTTCATCACATTATCTTTCGAATGAATATATTATAAATTTAGGTCTTGTTTAAGAGAAAATGAGCGGATATTTCGTTGTATCACCCAAGGAACGCCCATTGCATTTCGCAACCTCCCTTCTGGTGAGTGGTGAGAGTGTGTTTTAGTAGGCTTTTCCGAAACATCAATGCCTATAAAATTCAACCTTGAGACAAGTAAATAATGGATATGCATACGGAAATAAGGTGATCTAATTGTGCTTTTATCTCAATATCATGCTTTTGTCTGCCTTGAAAGCTATCAGTGAAGATCTTTTTCAAGGTAGCCTTGCAGCAGCATTGCCAGTAAGACTTCATAAAACATTTCTGACAGTTTAGCGGTCATTTTGATGATCATGCGCCAATGAAAAAAGCATTAACTGAAAAAGTGAAAAAACTTACTCATAATTGGTACTTAATCAGATGTCTTTTTCCAGATAAAAGATGAAGTCCCGTAATCTTCCCTGCCGATTTGGTTACATCTTATAGCTACATTTAGTTTAACGGAAACTTTATATTAAAGGCAAAAGGTAAAATTGCCATCATCCAAGATGTAATCCGAGAAAACAGGCTCCAAAGGCTTGATCAGGTTAGTCAAATGAGCATAACTGCCAGATTCAGGTTGACTGGCACGATTGTTGAGCTTAATTCTATTTCGGGTGAACGTATTTGGTGAGGAGATTCGAAGGTCACTTCCAACAGAAGCGACGGTAGATTTACCTTGGCCAGCTGTCGATTGGCTTTACTGTAACATTCATGTTGACGCCGTTTCCAAAGTAATCTCCTTCGATTCCGGTGAAAACGTGCTAAGCTTTCGTTCGTCATATGATGAATATCATCAGAGCAAGGTAGCATCCTTACAACAAAACCCAAGTTTGCTTGACTCGTTAGCTTGAATTTGGTTGTAAGGATGGTACCCTGCTCTGATGATGTTTGTCATACGACAAACGAAAGCTTAGCCCCATTTCACCGGAATCGAAGGAGATCACCTCGAAAATAGCGTCAACGTGAATGGTCCAGTAAAGCCAATTGACGGCTGGTCAGGAGGAATCCTTCATCGAATAGATCTTCGAATCTCTTCATCAAACGATTTCACTCGAAATGAAAGTATGCTCAACAATTATGCAACAAGAGATTCCTCGAAACCCAACTTTTCCTCGCTTGACTGGCCCGAAGTGGGGACAAATTCTACAGCCATGCTGGATGGCCCAATTTAATTTACTGGTGCAAACACTTCCTAATTTGTATCGAGGCTGCGCAACCTGGCGGCTGAATCTATTCATGTTAATCTTAATTCTCCATCAGACATGGTGTGCAGCGTAATCAATTTCAGCCCCCAGACATCAGGCAAGTACCAGACTTAGTATTCACCTCAAGCCAAACGCCCACCAAAGAAAGTAGTTTTCGTCGGATGGGCATCGAATGAGAGAGGAAGAGATGCCATCTCAACTCCGGAAATTTAGGTTGGTGTCATTTTCATTTGGAGAAATTCGTCATTTGAGTGAATTCATCAAATCACCATTATTAACGCATCGGCAAAAAAGTAGCTATCGCGGACCTGTTTTCCTGCTGAATCTATATTTTGTTGCTGATCTCCGATTTTTAAAAACATATACGCTTCCTCTCCTTAGCAGGTGTTAAATGTTTTTCATAGCAAAAGGGAGTTTGGAATTTTACCAATTTATTTTAGAATTTATTTAGCAATAAAAACTGGTAAACGAAAAAATAAGAGTTAAACATTTAATATGAAAGTTTATGAGGCGGCGTTTAAAGCGGAAAAAGAATTTTGTAAGCGTGTTAACGCAGTGTCTCCTCGTACCTGAAGTTGAAACCCACAAAAGAACATTTCAAATCCAATTCACCTGATCCAGTCTACTTAGCACAAATCTTGGCACTCTAGCACCTTAACATCATATTTGCTTCAAATAATCATTTATATGACCTTTCATTTCCTTCTACTTGTCCGTACTTCCGTATTTATGCCCGTCTATTTGTTGTTAAAGTCGAAAGTCTTTCGAAGTTACGTTCCAGGGGCCCTGGGTCTCATGGAAAAAGCTAATCATGAAAAAGAAGTAAGACATGTCGGGGAAAAGGGACGGGGCGATAGTCTTCAAGTGTCGGTGAATGCAGCCTAGTCAAAGTTTACATACTCTGTAGGCTTGTCCATTGTCAAGTAGCGCTTCTCCAATTCAGACAGACGCTTCTTAAGCGCATGCCGGACCACTGGTGATTGGTGTCGACGTTGCTGCGACGAACGTCGCCAGCGCTGGTCCATGCCAAGCATCTCGTTGTCTAAAGCAGAGCGACGATTCTTGAGTAGACGTAGATCAGTCTCGTAGTCGACTTCGGGCTCGATTTCTTCAAAGTTTGACATTTCTTCATTCTGGCTGGCGTAGCGATGCTGCTTAATAGCGCAGACCGACAAGCTTAGCATGAGTGTGAGAAGGGTGCAGAGCAGTCCAAAAGTAAAAAGTTTTTGAATTGGTTCAATTGGAAAATGTGCTTTTCTCATATTTTGGATCTCCGATTTGAGTTGAACCCAGCACAGAAGAAAGCTAGATTAGGATAAAATAAGCATTGAATAATCAAATTAGTGTGCACGGACCAAGCAACTTCGTCATATATCACATTATGACTCAAAATAAAGCATAAAATTGCAATTCACTATGGTTTACCCTATAATAAAGAACTTTGTTGGTATAAGATAAATTTAAAAAATAATGCTCACATCTACAAATAAATATATAAATGTAAAAAAACAAATGGTCCATGAGAGTAACTATTCATAGATAGGCATTACCATATATTTTTAGTTTAGGTTAGTTTAGTCGTTATTTACCCATTACAATAACCTAGATATTATTAGTATCAAATTATATGAACGCAACTAACATATAATATAATGTGATATGTATTAAATATCTTAATAAATTATTATTATATTATATACTATTTTATAGCCATGAAAATTCAGTGAATTCATACCGATGATATTGTATAGGCAGGATAGACGTGCCCACCTCGGTGCTCTCTCTTAACTATTATTAACCTTTGGAGAGAGTTTCCCAGCCCTGTTAAACGTATTCGGTCGGTCTTCATTCAAAGTAAAAATAGTTTTGATAAGGGGTTGACCTCGTTTTCGCAACTTGATCTTGTTGTAAGGTCGACTTAGTTGTACGCACCTTGTCCGAAGTTCTCTGTCATAGTAGTTATCATAATTCCCAGCATCAGACAGTGGACTTAGTACATTTCAGGGTCTGACAAGATGCGTTCAACTAAATTGATCTGACAACAAGACCAAGTTGCGAAAATGAGGTCAACCCATTTTTGTACATCAAAAGGAGACTGCGACCATAACGAGAGCCACACCATCTTGGTCTCCATATATTCGGAAAATAATTTAATTACCATTTAAGTCTATTGAGGAATGGATTTGGAGACCTAAAAATAAGCTATTGCTGCACAATTGATTAACGGAGCTTCAGACTGTCCTTGTTTAATGGCAGAATAATAAATTGAACGTTATCAAGAAAGCCGAAACCATATGGAGCCTAAGGGATTTAGCTTAAAACGAGAGTACTTGTGGGAAACTTTGTTTTCTATGGCTTTTTGGGAGGGGAAACTAAGTGAAATTCATTGTCTTCATGAGGCCTACCTGTCTCATTGTGGGGAAACTTAACTATCCATCCTAATATCAACTTAAACGACTTGGGCAAAGTTTTTATTCAACAGTGGACTTGGTACATTCTCAAACGTTTTGCCGGCATCATAGTCGGCATTATAGTCGGCATCATCAGTGCATTTTGCCATTCACTACGAACTCGTCAAAGAGACAAGTGAAGTCAATGCCTTGACAACGGCAGACGACTTCGGACTAGGTGAGTTCTACATAGTCGCCCTGACAACAAGACCAAGTTGCGACAACGAGGTCAACCGATTTCTAAAATGTGTTTTTATCTTTTCTGTGGAACTTGCATAATTATATTTTGTAATTTGCTTAGAGCTTCATTAAAACCCTTTTTTTACCAATAAATCATATAAATGAGAATTATTCATCCTATTTCGTTTAGGGTGATACGAGGAATAGTAGTTGAATTTTGCAACAATCATAGCCTTGCCTTCCCAGAAGCTATTCTCATTTAGGTTTGACTGGATTGCAGTTTGGACTTCACCTGAACTGTTCTCATCAGCACTACCAGCAAGACTTAAACCATGACTGTCCAGCGTGTCATCTAGACACTTTGACAAATACGCCGCATTATTATGATTAATTTTAACTATCTTGGTTTATTGTCTATCATGTGTAGAAGACAGACATTTCATTTCTTTAAGAAATTACACATTCTTCTTAACAGGCAAATTTGTATAAGTGTGTTCAAGAAGTTTATACAAACATTTAAGTCGATTGCTACAGCAAATACCACTTTGCTTCATCCAAAATCCCACAACAGAATTTGATGCTGGAAGATGCATGGACTTCCTTTAAAATGCACATTTGCCTTGTCGCCCTAAGGCATTCGTGGCCGTGTGGTGCAGTGGTTAATGTGTTGAGCTTATACGCTGCACTGTCGTGGTTCGAGTTCCGCTGGGGAAGCTGATGAGACCTGGCCAAGGTCGAAGCTAGAACCCATTTGGAATAAGCATACTTTGTGGGAAAGCAGGGCAACGTGAAATTTGATGGGAACGTAAGGTCTACTCATATCAGTGTCGGAAAATTGAACTACACTTTAAACAGAATAGGGTGAATAAATTTCATATTCTCCATCGTACCAATTATAAGGAAGGCAAATACCAGGGATTCCATTGTACTAATTAAATTTGATTATTGCTATTTTTGTAACTTATGCCGACTCGTGTACACGGAAATTCGCGTGAAAATGAGGACGGTATTTTTAACGAAATGATAATTAATTTACGTCAGACTGCTGACAATTATTTGACGATGCTATCTTAGTCAGGTCTTTATATTCTATTAAATTGAGTAATAGCATTCCAGAAGCATATTAAAGACCGTCCATTAAAAATAAGAAAGAAATCTCTTCAGAAGTATAGAGGATAAAATTTCACAATCTCCTGCGGAGCAAGCAGCTTTAGTGAGGCACTCGTAA